AATAGAGATACAAGCAAGAATCATTAAGTTCTATGAAAAACATAAGCATTGACGAAGCATTCGTTACTATGAATTGCATGAAACTTATGCTAAGAATTCATTCAACGCGATCGTTTTCAAGCGACCTTCACTACTTGTGATTATAAGATTGTAACTATTAGGTGAAACTCCCTCATAATCTAGCATCATATTCATGCATGAAAACTAAGCGTGCACTCTCAATCAACATACACAAATAAGTTATCAATCAAATAGATGAACGAATTGAATCCACAACTTATGAAATAACAACTGAATGTAATCAAATCATATTGCAAGCATGTACATGGTTTCGAATTCCCCCCTAACCAAGGGGGTTTAGCCACTCATGATTACAACAAACTTAGAGAGTAATAACAAAGTAATCATTGAAAACAAGAATCGAAGTACACCTAAAAATTCCAACAACTCAATCTTGAATTGTATGAACGTTTAAGCCTCTTCTCCTCTAGTTGCTGCGGCACAAGGGGTTTTGGTGAGTTTTGGGGGTTATGGATGATGTAGAATGATGTGTTTAGGGTAGGGATGGATGTAGGGGAAGGCAAGGAGTGTTTTTGGGCAGAAAATATGAAGAATGGTGAAGTATGGCTGTGTTAGAGAGAGGGAATGAATTTCTGGTGTGAATGAATGTGTATGAGAGGTGGTGATCTGATCTAGGGGTTAATATGAGTATATATAAGCACTTAAAACCCTAGGGTAATCAGATATGAGCTTGTGACAAGCTAGGACGGCTAAGAGACAAGCTAGGACGGCTTGTGACAAGCTAGGACGGCTAGGAGACAAGCTAGGACGGCTAGGAGACAAGCTAGGACGGCTAGTGACAAGCTAGGACGGCTAGTGACAAGCTAGGACGGCTAGGAGACAAGGTAGGACGGCTAGTGACAAGCTAGGACGGCTAGGAGACAAGCTAGGACGGCTTGTTCTTCCAATACAGAAATTAGGCACCATGTGTGAATAGATAAAGCCTTCTAGAAATAAGGTTTTTAGGCCCCCTTGCAGCTCCCTAACTGAATTCAAGCCTTCAAATTCGTTCATCCTCATGCCTCCATGCTTGCACTATCCAATCTTGGCCCAAAAATGCTCTAGAATGCTCCAAATTGCTTCTTTTTGCATACTTTGACACTAAAACCTGAAATTACACGAAAATGACTTTAAACACTAAACTAACTAAGGAAAAACAACATAAATGCATGAGAACAAGCCAATTAAGTCGCATAAAAATGCTCCTATCAGTTGCTGGAGAAGAAGTGGAGGTGCGGGCCTGGATGCCTTGCACGTGATGGGCCTGGGTGTAATTATTGGGTCGGGAAGCAGAAGGTCGTGGCGTACGGGGAGGACTGGAAGGCGCATGGCTGCCGGAAGAACCAGAACTGGAAGCAGCTGCACGGCGCGGTGGTCGCCACGGTTGGCCATGAAGGGGATGGCCAACGGGACAGCCATGAAGTTTATAGCAGGTGTCTCAGGTATGATAATCAAAATTGTAGTAGGTGCAGTGGAGGGGAGGGCGAGCAGAGGAGGGACAAGACGAGCCACGAACAGCCATGGCGGCAGGTTGATAGACAGAGTGAATGACGCCCAGGGATCGCTGTTTTTCAGCTTGAGACACCGAGGAACAGGCTTGATGAACAGTGGGAAAGGGATTCATCAAAAGGATCTGGTCACGAACGGCAGCAAAAGATTCGTTGAGGCCCATTAAAAATTGCATGAGTTGTTGACGGTCATGCTTGGTGTTGCAAGAGCACGTGCAGCCATCATTATAAGAAGCAAGCTCATCCCAGAGAGCTTTCAGGCAAGTAAAATAGGCTGAGACAGAAGAAGAACCTTGAGAAATTGTAGCAAGCTCCCAGTTGAGTTGGAAGATACGAGGAGCGTTACTCTGAGAGAAGCATTCGCGAAGATCGTCCCACACATCCTTGACAGAGGTGGAAAAAAGCACAGATTCTTGAAGGTCAGGTTCCAAAGAATGAAGAAGCCAAGAGAGAATCATGTCATTGCAACGACGCCAAGCCGCGTGAGCATCAGGATCATCGGAGGAAGAAGGCTCTTGGACATCGCTAGTGATGAAACCAAGTTTATTCTTGGCACTCAAGGAAAGCTGCATGCCACAGGCCTAGGAAGTGTAGTTATCACCATTCAACTTCTTGGATACAAGGACAAGATTCGGGTGGTCTGAATGATGAAGGGAAAAAGCACCATCGGGAGAAGAAGAATCAGCCATGGGAACGGCAGAGAAAGCTGCCGAAAAAAAAGAGGAAAAATAGGGCTAGGGTTTTAAACTTGCTCTGTATACCATGTAAGAAAAAGGTATGTAGGCTAAAAAGCATATTTGTTATTGATACGTGAATGATATTATATACAATTACATGCCTTGCATAGCAAGGAAAAATCCCTACAAATTAGGAATACAACTACAATTAGGACTACAATTACACAAGGACTCCAACCATATTCCTTATTTGTCTAACAAAGTGTTTTGGTGTTGGCAACGTCCTTTTGCCATTCTCCTATAAACTCAAATGATAAATTAATTCTTACCAATTCTTATAAATCATGAAAATTTGAAAGGAAAGACAACAAGTCAGTTGAAAGGAGAGAAAATATTGATCTTGGATTCTTTTAGATGGGTGCAAAGATAAATTTACATATATATTAAATTGGGTTTTTGAGGTAGTTTAGATAGTAAATTTGAATTCAAATAGATACTGATAGCTTAAAAAAACTAATATGCGTGCATATAGTAAATTGGGTGTATAATAAGATTATATGGGTTAAAAAAAAAATTGTCTAACTTTACGTGGATATTGATATACCTCCAAAGAAAAAACATATAGAATTCACTTGGTATACATGTTGACTTTTAAGCAATACGTATCTAAACCAGTTCTGTTAGAATATGTTTTGTTAATTTCTTCTGAGCGGTTTGAGGCTGAGTTAGCTTTTTAAAACAACAAACAATAATCTTCAAGGAAAACATAGCCAAAAGGGTAGCTACACCATTATTTTTCTTAAAGGGACAAACAATAGTTTCTAGGAGCTTTCCGTTGTCAACAAATCCAAAAACAGGAAAAGAAGAAAAAACTAATTTTAAACTCTTATATCTTATTAACCAAGACAAAGAAAAATGCTACAAAATGTTAAGATAATTACATAACGTGGAAAAACTACATCATACTAAAACGTAATTCATACTTACAAATTGGATGCAGGATTTATTTATAAAGATCGAAGTACAGGAATAAATATGAACAATAAATAAGCAGAAAAGGAATAAAAAACATAGTAAATAATAGTTTGGAAAAAAAAAACCTAGTAAATACGAGGAAAGAAATTATAATTGGTGTACAACGTGATGTGACAAGTGATTCATACAATCATTAGCCAATGTGATGAATTTACTAATTAACGTTTCAAGTACACATCATTTGTCACATCATATGTGTTGGGTAAAGCAAGTCTGTCTGTCTCTTGATTTAAGGAGTCCATCTCCTTGGTTACTGTACAGTTATCTTTGATTGCTTTTCATTCATATATGAGTCTAACTCACGAAATAGCTTGTCTAGGCATTAATTTCAAGATCTTGATTGATCCATGTTTCTGTATAAGTCTATTGTACCTTTTTCTCTTTTCCTTAATGAAAACCATTCACACAGAATAGAAGGTTTTACAATATGATAACCAATGTGATACAAAAATGTGATATCCCAACATTTCCCTGCTACAAAACCTTATGATGTAACATACAAATATACAAATTGCTAATTCCAACAGCTTGTCAGCCTCATCCTAATTACACTACATTATGCCGTTGCGTGTTTGTCAAGAAGGAAAAAACTAATACGTACACACACATACATAAATACATACATATATATATATATGTATATATATTCCTTCGGGAGAGGGTTGATGCTTCGCACACGACAGTTAATGAAGAGCTAATCTCGCCTAATCCGTCTCTACAAAAAAATTATTCAATATATGTGTGTATATGTGTGTGTGTGTGTGTGTGTGTGTGTGTGTGTGTATTGATGCTAATTTTCAAGCCGGTATCGAAATAAACGCAGATTTAAATGCAAATTTAGATGAAGATACCGAAATAGGTACAGAATTCGATTGCATACGTAGTTCCCAATTGCAGGTGAACATTTTGATCATATATCCCTTTACCCTAGTAAAATTTAACCCGAAAATACGGTGACAAACATTGTGCATCATCTACAACCCAATCTTTTATATCGCTTAAGCAGCAATGAACCTGCTGCCATGCTCATCACATATCACGATTCTCAACAGATATTACTTTTCTTTTCTTTTCTATATGATCATAAAATCGATAAACTAACCAGGACTAATTCCTTTTCTTTTATATTATGCTCTCCATTATTTCCTAACTTCACAGATAACATATTGGGAAAATTTTCACTTTTCTGTGATCTATTCGCGACATATAACTTACATCTACAAGGTTGTTGGATCTTCATGGCGCTAATTTTGCTATGCTTGTTTGTAGAACTGTATCGGGAGTTAAAATGATGAAGAGCGAGTATAGACAATTTATTCGAGCAAAGAAATGAGAAGATTCAAGATTCTTGTTTACCTGATATCCTCATTTTGTGGTTCAATTTTGTTCTTCCCAAACATGCTAGTTCACTGATGGCTTCATTTTACACACTATTGTATCATGTATTGATCAACGACTTTGCAGATTACCATACATGCAGAGTTGCCAATGCTTCGTTACGGAATTTGATTTTCCGATCTTGTATTTCCACCATTTTGTAAGCTTAGTAGGGTTTAGCATCGTCTACATTTTCTTTCTTACCGATATACAAAAGTATAAACTCCCCCGAACTCCATCTTTCAAAATTTCAATGCAAAAATGTTCCTTTGGCAAATATTTGTCGTCTTATTTCATGATATCGTCATTTTGATGTTCACATAATAAACAAAAGCAAACAAAAGAAAGAGAAGTGATTCTTGCACTTTTTTTTACTCCTCATACTCCTTACATTTTGTTGTCATTTGAATCTTGAGTTGAGTAAATTAAAGGAGAATCAAGAGATTGAAACAAGAGAATGAGTAAAAAAAAAGAGAAACAGGGTTGAAAGCCACTATCCAAAATAAAACGACACAATCAAACTATGGAAGTGGTGATCCAAGACCCTCTTGAGAAGATAACGAATTTAGGGTTCGGTGTCTCTTGGAATTGGAGACAAATTGCTCCTTCTTCAATGAATCTCTTTTGGGATGGTGTTGGAATGTTGCTTTGGAATAAAGTCTCTGTATACACAATGAGGCTCTTTCTTTGTACTTGAGCACCAAGTAAAAGATGATCCGTACACAAAGTAACAAGCATGCCAAAGCGGCCAAGTCCCACCATTTGGAAACATCAGGGCTTATCCCATACAAGTGAAGGAGTACATCCTCACCTTTCAACTTTGGATCTCCAGCCACCAGAGGGTCAAATTCCAGCCCAATCATGTCATTCTTATACTGACCCTGTAATTAAGATGCATTTGGAAAAGATTTAGGATTTTGTTAAGTTTAGTTGCCCATGCACCCGTGAGCGGTTTCAGATCGTTAATGGGATGCGGGATGTACATGCATGAACTGTTAGGAATCATTCACGTGCACGACCAACCGTGGCATTTCTGAAAAATTTAATACTTCGTACCTGTATTGACCATGCTGCGTAGCTGAGGTATGACATTGGGTATCGCCAAAAGATTTTTGGAAGGTCAACCAGCCTCCGGAAAAGAAGAGATGGCATCATCATAAATACCTATGTTTACAAAACATATTAGATGGTTGTACAAGTTACAATGGAATAGTACTAAAGGGATCACATTGTGCAGTACCAGTAGGAGTGCAACTCGGATAGGAATATCCGATCCAAGAGAAAGTAATTAAAATATCTGGGAAAATTTGAAATAGGTCCAATTTTATAGACTACTTTTTGAAATAGGTCTAATTTTTAGTAACTTTTGACTTTTTAAATAGGTCCAATTTTTAGTTACTTTAGACTCATTTCAAAAAACCCCTTAATATCTTTAGTATTGCATGTCCGTAAAATGTGATTTCTCTAGCATTATCTAGAAGTTGTTATGATTTTATGACTGGGAGAATTGAGGTATGGCTTACAGTTATGCCAGCTGCAGCTCCAATGCCCATCAAGAGGTTTGGAACCACTGCAGCCACAATCAATGCCGTTCCTTCCGTGACAGTAATGCAGCAGAAAAGATTGATGCAAAAATACAAGTAATGGGAGAATCCTGAGTGAAATTTGACCATGTTGTATAGTATTGTTCCAGAAGAGAAAGCCATGGCAACCACGAAGGGGAGCGAGGAGAGGAAGTTGGAAAGCACAAACAAAGCTTCCCCGTAATGCCCACCAAGTCTTTCCTGTCTAAATACCTGCGCATGCACAAGAATTTTAAAAGGACGGGATAAACTTTTACTGAGTAATGCTCTCTTACTAGATTTATGTCGTCGGACAGTAGAACTCACATTATTAACATTCCAAATTCAGTCTAATTAACATATGACAAATTCGTCTGGCAAGAAAACATGTCACAACTTTTACTAGTTTCGATAAGAATTCATCAGTCACTACCTTTAATTCTTCAATAACAAAGGGTATGCCTCCAATAGACAGGCAAATCATGAGGCCATATATGAAACCGTCACACTTTCCTCTTGCCACAATTGCTTGATTGTTTGTTCCAATGTGGAAGAAGAAAGAGCCAGCACTCACTGCAATTAGTATGTAGAACACACTCCTTAACCAGTAGTACCCAATATCTCTAGACATGTTTATTGAAGATCGACTGATCAATGTGCATAGCTGCTTCCACCATTTGGCACTACTTCCCTTGTTTGATGGTTCTGCAGGTCTTTCCTGCAATGTTAAGAGTGGTTAGACATGGTCAGGAATTAGTAAGTATGAGTGAATAGGTGCAATCTACGTTTTTTCGCTTATGACTAAGAAGAGAAATGATTGCACGTGATAGTAATACCAGGTATAAGAAATGTTAAATTCAGATTCTGATGATGTTTATATAAGAATGATGAAGAAAGGAATGATGAAACTACTCAGAAATGTTCAAAGAAATTCGAAGAAGAGAGAGAGAATTTAAAGATCACAGAGAATGTGACTGCAATCTAATTTCATTGAACCAACGTGCTGACTTGTGAGCTCAGTACATGACAAAATATAATCGTTAGAGAGGGAGAGAGAGTGATACAATTCAAGTTCTAATCTCAGCCATCGATCCTATACTTCGATGAGATTAAGACACTTGTCACTCACTAAGCCTTATGAGACCTAATAATCCTAATTACGCTTAAACAAATAACTCGGCAATATAAGCATGAGTTTTACTCAGATTAAAACATGAAAACACTCCTAAAATCAGTTCATCGATTCACACAACAACAAAAAACTGCACGTTCCTACAGTAGTCCAGTAATTAACTTCTATATATTTTCTGAGCAGGGCTGCTATTCTTCTAATTAGTTAGAGTTAAGTGCATGCATACAGTGAGCAAGATTTCTCGGATCCTTTTTCTTGCGTCTGTTGAAAATGCAGACGACTTGTACGCATTGATTAGCTTTCCTTTGATCTCATCTGTTGTCAAGTTCTTTTGGGAAATTAAGGAGTCTGTAGATGCCTGCCAAGAAAATAACAAAAAAATCTTAACTTACAATAATTAAACCTCTTTAAAGAAAAAGAAAAAAAGGGTGCACATACACAATTGATTCTTTGAGATAGCATAAGAGCTGCTAGAACTTTGTCAAAGTCTGAACTAATGCATCGAAGGAAGTGGTCTGGAGGATTTTTTCGTGTTGGACAAGGAAATCCGGCATCAGTAAAGAACTGAAATATAAGAATATTGTAAGAACATTAGCAAGCAAGAATTCTAGAGCCAAGAAATTTGTTCACCAAATCATGCAAATGTCGATCAATATCTTACGAAGGAAACAATAGGCTTCAGAATAAGACCATATTTTGGTTCTCCAAAATAACCAATATTTTTTACCTTTACGGCCATCTCTGCTTCTCCAAAATAAACAGTTTCACCTCCCGCTAAGAGGAGCAGATCATTGAAGAGATTGAAGACATCGATACTAGGTTGGTGAATAGAGCAAATGACTATTCTTCCGTCACAAGCAATGTTTCTCAAAGCCCATATTACAAAGAAAGAAGAACTGCTGTCAAGGCCACTGGTGGGTTCATCAAGCAACAATACATGAGGTTGTGTAAGTATTTCAATACATATGCTGAGTCTCCTCTTTTCTCCATTACTTAAGCCTCTCAAATGCCAATTTCCGATGTTGCTTCCGGCGCAATTTTGAAGCCCCATTTTTGTGATAGTGTTTTCTACCACCTTATTCTTCTCCTCTTTATTCATTTTACACGGGAGCCTTATATGAGCTGAATATGTTAGGGTTTCTCTGACTGTAAGTGATCCCAGGAAAACATCTTCTTGAGTTACATATGACTGAAATATTGCATGCACGATAAAGTTAACACACATTATTGGTTGTTTAATTCATATAATTATAAGAACAAAATGTGCAGGTCGTGTGTTCATTTGATCTAGTGAAAGTCAGTCTCTATTTTGTTGGAAGATGTCCTAAGTTGACCTCTCGTAGACGACTAAAACAATTTATTAAGTCAACATAATGTTACACTTACAATATCTGTGCAGTTTCTGCTTATTTTGTTCCCATTCAGTACTACATCCCCAGACACTTTGACATTTGCCGGAAGCCTCCCTGATGGTATCCAAGGGAAATATCACAGGCATATGAGAAATTTTTTAGAGAATATTGCAATCCGTTCAAACTTCTGGGCATATAATTAATTATCTGCAAGGATTAAGAGCAGACCTGACCCGGCTTAAAAGTTGAGTTCGACCCCCAATTAAAAAAGTTGAATCAGCTTAGTGTACTTACAAATTAGGCGAGACCGGATCACCAAGGATGATCCACGAAGTTTGATACAATAAAACCTCTTTAAAGTCATAAAAAAATTTGATCTCAACTTGGGACGTGTTATGTATAAGAATAAACTTCATATTGTAATAATTATAATTTTTCTTATCCCATCTTAAGGAAACACGCCTCCACATAGTAATAATTATCAATCAATACAAAAATATGCAATATCACATATGAAAGTTTAAGATAAACTAAAATATTTGTCCAAACTTATTTGGAACAATACTTTAGTTTTTAGAGTTGATGTCACATTTGTGAATATGCAAGTACATATGTGCAAGACATAAAATCCTTGTCACCCAAAGAATCCTATTTAGGAAGTACAATATTCATTAAGTGTGCGTCAATAAATAATAATATATTTTTAACGACACCTCAATTAATAATAACCTCTCTAAAATTATAAAATTGATTTGGTTTTTGCTTTGTGTTATATGTACTATATTTGGTGCATTACCAAATCAACCAACAGAGCCTTGTGACAAATTGTGTGCCGCTCTGTGTTCTGAAAACACTGAAAAATCTTACTAAATAGAGGCTTGTAATGACCTTATTCATGTGATATTTCAATCTAATTTGAGTTACAATGAAGAAAATTTAAACTTGATTGTAAAAGTGAGCATATTGCCTTAGTTAACTTGCGTGTATCACAGGTCAGGAAAATTCAAATGATATTTTAGTTTAACTCAAGGTACAAGGAAGAAAACTCAGACTTTGGTCCGGAGACAGCACATTGCCTTAGCTAATTTGTATAGCACACGTTAGAAAAACTGGTAATTATTTTGATAAAAAGGTTTGTTTGTATTATATTTCACTTTGATAAATGAAATTCATAAAATTGAAATATCAATATGAAACATCATTAGTTTGGATTCCATGCAAAAACATCGATTACTAAAGATTTTTAGATTACTCATGAAATTCACAACTGGCCATGGTTTAGTATTGTTTTTGTTTAACCTAACTGACTGATGTAGAATAATTTCTTAGTTCTCTTTTTTCTCTGAAGCAGCAGCTCAAACAAGCATTTTGGTATGCAATAAGACGGGCTGTTTTGAAAGGAAAGACGAGAGAAGTCAGACTCTATAACATATATGTGCATGCCTAGCCAACTAACATCACTTTTTACGACAAAACAATATTTTCGGATTTTGTCATCGAGAGAGAGAGAGAGAGAGAGAGATGTATGAATATATACCAGCCAAGGCATCAAGTAAGGTTGATTTTCCAGAGCCAGAAGGACCCATGAGTGCCATCATCCGGTCAGGTTCAGCGTAGCCACTAATCCCATTGAGCAACTTTCTCGACATTGCACCAGTTTTCAAGTTCGCCGCCGCCGCCGCCGCCGTTATATCTTCCCACACCAAGTACTTTCCTGCTCCTGCAGCTGATCCACTATTATTATTCTCTTTCAGTCGCTGATCTCCATAATAATCACTCGACCCCTCTACCATTTTTACAGTACTGCTCAATGCTCACTGCAAACTCTAGAAATATCCTGCTTACATTTATAAGAGCCTTCGAAATGGGGTTCAGAGTTCTTTATCCCCCTATTGATGTGTGAAAATGAATTCCTTAAACATATGAAAAAGTCTGTTTTTACATCGAATATCATTAAAAATTCATATTAAAAAAAAAAGATATATATATTATTTAAATATTGCACGTCTTGCGTTTTTAAACTTAGATGCACTAATTAAGCTTACATAACTTGTTCAACCAATTCTTTTTCAATTGATAAAATAACTAACCCATTCAATCTTTCTTCTGACAAATTTGATCAACTTTGATTTTGAAAAACTTCTTTTTGTAGAGGCAACCATAACTGATATAATTAACAAAATATTAAAAGCAACTCATGCATTCGGAAAACAACCATGCAACTAGCATTAATTTATATATATATATATATATATAATATAATATAATATAATTAAAAAAAAAATTACAGGTTGTCACCTACTCCAGCTACCCGCAAGACTGGCCTTGCAATAGCTACGCACAAGACACGTTCTCTCTTATTATGTAGGATGGAACATGGGTATGGATCGTATGGTAATACGGTAAATATATAGAGCACATTTTCAATTTTATCTTATCCATCTCTTTAATTTACTGAAATGGTTTAAGGTTTGTCATAATATTAATAGGCAACAAATATGGAGAGCATTCAAGAAATTACAAGGTTTGATAAGCTTATTATACTTCTTTCATTTACATGCAAAGGCTAGAATAGTCATGAACTAGGGAAGAGAAACTAAGAAAGGGAATATGAGATTACGGAATTTAAGGTAGAACCCATACTACTTTCGATTTTTCTATATGATAATAAAAACAAAGAAAGTTATAAAATAGAATGGTCTTGATGAGCATATTTTAGTAAATACATGAAAGTTAAGAATCAAATTAATTCTAATTCCTTTTTTTTTTAAAGTAAATATGCAATTTCAAGTTATTTGATAACTATTTTGTTTTTAGTTTTTTTTTTTTTTTTTTAACTAAGAATAAAAAATTTTATTTGATAATTACTTTCATTTTCAATAAAAATTAATCTGAAAACTAAAAAAATAAAAACTACTTTCTTGAGTTTTGGAAACAAGTTTTCAGTTTTTCAAAAACTAATTTTTTTTTAAACTAAAGACAAATGCTATCAAATCATCCCCCATTATGGTGACATAAAGACTTGGGGTTTGGGGTTGAGGGACATGGGTGCTTTCAATACAAAACGATAGCCCTGTCACTGGTGACAGAAGACTTCGGGCTTGGGATTGAGGACACACGGCCGCTTTAAATACAAACACATGGGTGCTTTAAATACAAAATGGATAGTCATTTAGTAGTATGTCTAATGGTATTCTGCTGCATTTGTAAAGAGAGATTTTAAGTTTAATTCTAACCAAAAATGAATTTAAATATATTATTACTAGCTTATTATGAGGTTAAGTACATATTTTATTTATTAGTATAAATAATATCGTTTTTTAAAAAAATAAAAAATTGCAAAATGGAGAAGCCCTATCAAATATGGCATTACCAATCATGCATCACTAAAGCATAGAGGGCCCATATATATATCTGGAGGCAGATCCTCCCACTTCCCGTACACTTTCATCCCTTCATGTTTGTGCGATCACGATTAAACCACGTCAATATTTATATTATTATTACTTTTTGTCTTATTATCTTTAAAAAAAATTAATATAAAATATTAAATTGACTTAACCGTGATCATATAAATAAATAAAAAAGAAATGAAAGTGTATAGAAAGTGAGAGGTAGAGAATCCGCCTCCTATCCAGAGAATCTGCCTCCTATTATATATATCCATCCTGCACTGTACACCGTATCCTAACTTAATTGCTCTGTTACTTGTTTCAGGTGGTCCATCCATCATCTATCACCTGTCTGTCTCTCATAAATTAAGTCCAACTACTCTCTGATCTCAAGTCCCACACCATATCTAGAGCCCATGTCTTGGGGTACATCATAACTGCTAATCAAGTTGCGACCTGAGCATTCAACGAAAAACCAATTGAAACATGTCCGGAGGAGTAACCGAGTAAGATCATTCAAGCATTCTCTCATGCAATGATTTACCTCCTCGACATGAGATTCATACTCTCAAGTTCTCAACAGTGCACACAAAACCAAAAATTCCGCAATTTGAAGTTGAGTTTCAAGAACCCATGTTCAGCTTGGGTTGCAAGAGAGCTGTCAAAAGAAAAGGGAAATGATTTTCGAGGTGAAAAGAAAAGGCAGTAAAAACCATCTAACCAGCAGAGTCAATGCCGGTATGGTCGTGGGACGGTGATTGTCATGGCGATTGCAATTGCAATTGCGCTTTAGAGTGTGCACCAAAACCATCCAACCAAACATGAACAAGTCTTGTCAATACAACAGAATAAAATTGAGAGATCACTGATACAGGTAACTCAGTATAATACATGTTATACTACAGCAGAAAGAAGTCTCTGGGTAAAAGGGATCACATGTACAAGTGTATCTGTGAAGAGTTAAAAAAGAGAAATAAAACTATGAGGGCCGTCATTGTAAAATAAGATGTTTCATGAAGGCGGATTATCATCGGGGACATCATCGAGGATGAAAGTACCCAACTTGCCTGACCTAAATAATGTAAGAAATTTCTTTGATACCATCAAACGCGCTTCAGACCCCTTATTAGGTATCTTTAAGGCCGTTTGCAGTGCTTCAAACTGCTGCTCAATAAGTATCTCCAAGTCGCTCTCATCTTCTGGGTTGCCATTGAATTCTGACAGAGTCGAATATAGTGCACGTTGCACTTCAGTTACCATATCCTGAAAAGCAACATGAACAGTACTAGAGTTTTAAAAGACATACAAACATAACAAAATATTAGCTGATCACGCCGGAGATTCTTATCTAAGCTACACTTAATAAGTATCAGCTGCAAACTGATGAGCCACACATGTGAGAAAAACTTAAAACGGCGAGTGTAAGAGTATCAGCGGGTTAGTGTCCAAGCTTCTCGTAAGGACACCTTTCTTGCCCCTTACTTGCCATGACACCATATCAACCATAGGCCCATAGTACATCGTGTACTATGTTATCCCTTCTCTTTTCCATATTCATGATTACCCAATCTATTAGAAGCATTACAATGCAGAGAACACAGGGAAACAAAAAATCTACTTTCTACTAAGAAATCCAAACCTAAGTTGCAAATCACAAATGGCGTCGCACCAAACATCAAGTAACTTCAACTTGTAATAACAGCATCTTGAATTTACCGTACCATTACAAATGACATAACCAAAAAACAAAAGAAAACAAGTCTCTATTGAGCTAGTATTAGTGGCGACTCCAACAAGTGAAGATTGTATCATACATGAATGTGAGAACCCTTTACCTCAGCACTTTAATCCAGGTAAAACTACCAAACAGAGTATTGTCCTGCACCTATAATACCTACTTTTAAACAAATGACAGCAAAACGTTCATGATGTGATGTGAGACACCTTTGCTTTAGTGCTTAATCTACAATGTGGTTTCTCCTAGTCAGTAAACTAGTCCCAGGCTTATTGAAAAAAAAAAATAAAAAATTATCCATACATGTTTCAGAAAGTATGTTCTTGTGTTAGTGTTCAAATAAAGTGACTAAGCATATTAAGTTTGACATTATCACCATTAAGCATTGTATATAAGGAAAGACAGGACCACAGTAATCTTAGTTACCTCAATGTACAGCACATCGGACTTATTTGGCACCTTCCTTCTATTAGGTCGAAGGTTCTTAAGGCTGTAATCAAATTTTCCCTCGGCTTCATATTGAATCCCTTCCATTCTCCTATTATTTGAGTTCTTCCAGTGAAAAGGTGTCCCTCGTGAATTTAGAACTGCAAGTAAGTATTGGGCAATTCGATCCTCTCCTACCACTGAGTCCTTAATAGATCCTGCACGTTCACTTGACTAATAAGGTTCACTGAGGACAAAAGTAAACAAACTACAACATGCCCCGGGTTCCTAAGAAAATTCTGAGCAAAGTTATTCAACCCAATTCAAGATTAACATGATACCTTCCTTCATTCTTATTTCAACACATGGAAGTTGGACCCCCTTCAAAATCTTATATTTAGCTAATCAGAATTTCATTTAACATGGATGTTAACTGCATAAATAGGCGTTTGATCCTATGCTTAGATTATCCAAAGATTTGAACCTCTCTCCATTTGCCAACAGTAAAAAACAACTAAGCTATCAAATTACAAATTCAATTTACAAGATACACCTAAGCCTATATATGGACACAGAAACGAAGATGCAAAATGAAACTTTCAAAAGAGAGAATGTTAAGGTGATCGCCAACAAACTTGAGAAAGGAAAAACCTGCAAGAGCTAGCTTTAACCCCGTCTCGATGTCAGGGATACTTGGAACCAAAACACCTGGAGTGTCAAGAACATATATGCTAGGCTGATGAGCAATCTGTACATAAGAAATTAAAAAAGAAGTTAGGGAGTCAGGACGAGAATTTCCATTTTAAATCAACAAGATAAAGGAAAAAGGAGAAGAAAGAATTACAATAAAAGCATTAAAAGACAAAAGAAACAAAAAATTAAGAACAACATAGACACTTGATTATTTTGTTTAAAATGAAGAATATCGGAAAGTGTACAGTCGGCCGAGAGACTTGTTATAAGAATGAAGTGGGTATAATTCATTGTTAGACTGTTTTTATTTTGATCAAGAGAGTTTTTTTGTTTCCGAAACACTGAAAGAGAAATTATCCATCGGCTAGTCTGCACTTTCAATTTGATGTAGAATGAATATGAAAAACTAAATCAAGAGCAAAAAGGACTTCACCTTGAATCCGGCAATGTCCTGAGTAACGCCAGGCAACGGACCCACGGTAGCGCGCTTCATCTTCCCCTGAACTATGAAAGAAACCCGACCACTGTCATTCTTCAATGTGGATTGCCTGAACTCCAGGGAGATTAATAACTTAAACACATTTCCACCACCAATATAGTATTCACAACAACTACCTCTTACCGGGAAAGCGAGATGATGCAATCCGATGAATATTATTGATTAGAGCTGATTTCCCAACATTAGGAACACCAACCACCATAACAAGCAGAGTAGGTTCCCTCGAAATCGCTTCCTTCAGCTTATACTCCACCAGCTCGAGAAGCTTCGATAACCCAGTGCACATTTAAGGATTTAGAACCCAAAAAAGAGATCAAAATCACAAACCAAAAATCAAAATACCTTGGAAACAGAACTCCTGCTATGTGCATTTATAGGAAGGCAATCTTGCTTGGACGATTCGAAAAACCGAGTCCATTTCTACAACAATCAAACCAATACAAACACGAAATTCATCAACAATTTGATAATAACAACACCAAAAAAAAAAACAAAAACGAGTTGATGTTAACATTACTTGCATGATATTTGTATTGGCGAGGTCCTTCTTGTTGAGGACAATGAGGGAGCGTTTGGCGCGGAGTTGGGGCTGGAGGTCTTGGTTGGCAGAGGACAGTGGAATCCGAGCGTCGCGGACCTCGATAACGAAGTCGGCGAGCTTGAGGCGATCGCGGATGGCCCGTGTGGCAGCAGCCATGTGGCCTGGGAACCAATTGATGGCTCCGCCTCCGGTGTTGAAACCCATCTCTCCCAACCCCATCATCCCCTTCTTAACCAACCCTTTTGACCCTAACCCCATTTCTAAATCTCTCTCTGGTTTCTACAAGCCCTGAATTGAGGAAGCTTTGCTGAAATGTTGACGGTCTCCGACTCTGGGTGGGTTTTAGTGGGAGTTTCAGGGAGGGTTCATAGGGTTTAAGCTAGGTTTGTTCAAGCCAAAGGTTCATAAGGTTTAAATCGCCGTTTAAAGCTGGGATATTTTAAATTGGTCCTAATCTTTTAGAAGATTTTAAATAATTATTTAATATTTTGAAAAATTGATTCTTGTTAGGTTCGTGTGATGATGTGGACAATTATTAAAGGGTAATTGCTTAAAATGATCAAATTTTTTTTTTTTTTAATTTTAGGAGTGAAATGGGATAAATTGGCCATGCACTTCAAGCACAAAAGCAAAATGAAGAAAATAACTATATATAAAATGTACAAACTCAAAAGTGATGTGTTTTTTTTTCTAATTTTGAAGAGAGAGTTGTGAGCTCTGGGTTTTTGGGTTGACTCAAATCTGTGAGCATATAATGTGCATGTCTTGTGCATGTCACTAGGAATGGATGATTTTTAATATGATTTCTCGAAGCTAGGTTCAGGTTAAAGATTTGTAAACTACAAATTTTTAAGAGATATTCAGATCAAGGCCCTTAAATATCTCCCAACACCGTTAATTACATGATACACGTCCGCCACAAAACTGATACACACTCCAAATATTGCATCAATAACCCTAATTTCTCACAGTTAAAACAAAAATCCTAAATTAAAAAATTGAAAGCTCCGATCTTTGTCGTGACACTCAGAATTCTAAAAAATAAACCATTGCATCAATAAGACAAGGGCTATGACAAATAATAGGATATAGAGAGAGATGAGACTGTGGAGGAGTGGTGGTGGGATGGTCATAGTTGTTCCTTGGAGACCTTCATGGAGGATGCCCGTGTGCTTAGCTTCCAACGTCAACACAAAGGAGTTGCGTGCCCAGCTCGGTCAGTATTCAATAATATTGAAGCCCGGAAAGATATTTATGGGTGTAAGAGGATTGGATGTTTCTCTCTCTGTCCTTTTCTTTCTCTACAAAATCAGAAATGGGAGTTGGAATTTCTAGGTAACCCATTTATATGGAAGGGCAATTAGGTCATTTCAAGATATAGAAAAAAAAAAATCATATTTCTGTCCTATTGTTGTACATGGAGTGTGCATACTTTGTGTATATTCGGTTTGTCCTATTTCAGTCCTAAAATTAAGAAAATGGGTCATTTTTTGGCAATTTTATGACAACCCGTTCCAAATTTTACGTTTTTATTTTATTTTAAAAGCGTGAATTTACAAAAATACCCTAGAGATAAAGATTTTGACTTACGTCGACCATCGTCTAGAGAGACATATGACTTATTCTTTTAACATATTCTCATAGTACTTGTTGGTGTGAACGCATAGGCGAAAGTCGTTTGCGAGTCCAAATTATAACGGTATAGTTATGGACGTTTGAAAATGGTTATTTAAAGTTTAGTTATAAATTATTTGAATTCCCACCTTGTGGGAAAGTGACCAATCAGATTTTAGACGCAAATAGGAAGGACCAATCAAGTATAAGGTCAAGGAACCAATTAGAATTAGAGGGAGAGGGTGAGACCCAATCAGAAAAGAAAGAAAAAAAAAATGGGAAAGCTTCCCGTGCACCCGTGCCCAACCCTGTGTGACCACCCATTTTCCAAGGCCGATTCCGGCCAACTCTGATGGAGTTTTTCGACCCCACCACCACCATCTTGAAGCTCTCATTCCCCTCTACAAAACTCACCCAAGAACCACCTTGATTAACCATGGTATATGGCGGTTGGAGGCCACGAAAGTCGACGAAAATCAACAGTGCTCTGGCCACTCTTTTCAATTTTCCGGCAAATCGGCAAAGCGATGAGCGATGCCACCACTTGGGCTTTGTAGCCCATCATCCCAGGAACAAAACCCAACCAACCTTGACCCCATTGGACCACTGTAGAAGGCAAATCGACACCGGGAAGTTTTAGGCACCCGCCGGCTTTGTGGGCAAAATTGACCATCTTCCGTCCACTTTTGGACTTCGTGGCAGGTATGAAAGTTTCTCCACTCACTGAGATCTTCATTTATTTGAAGTTTGAGAATTTTTGGAAATAGTTGGATTTTCTGGCGAGTCGGGGTGGCCGACCGCCACCCACGGCGGCGCGTGGCCAGTGGGCCGCCAATGCTATTTTTAGGTTATGTCGAATGTCTTGAATTCAGTTTTGATATTTGAATGACGTAGGGTGATCGTTGGAACCTAAATTCGTTACGAGGCGTCACTTGATAAAAATGTGAATCGACGATCCGACCATTGGATCGTCACCAAAATTGGATACATTATAATACGTAATATTTAAAGATCATAGGAATTTATGGATCGGGAATCCGACGTACGAATCTTCCCGAATTGGATTTGTAAGTTAGTAAAATAAATGTTCACGGCCACTTGTTTTGGGCAATTGGCGAAGATTCGACCGTTGGATTGTAATGAAATTTTAATATGTTAGTCTAGAAACATATTGTGGATCTTTGGGAGTTGTGGATTGGAAATTTGATACGCGGATCTTTCTGGTCGAGTTATACAGGGTGTAGACCCTACCGTTGATCTTTGATCGACGATTGACTTGTAGTCAATGGGTCTCGAAATATTTTAGATGTCATTGAGGATGTGTTTTACGTGAATTACGTATTCTATTGATAAGAGTTCTGAGATGTGATTCGATAATTGTTTACAGGCGCCAATCATTCGAGACGCCTTGATGTGTGCGCTAGGAATCATAACGTGGACTCCAGGTGAGTGGATCTTTTCCTTTTATCGTACATATTATTGATAGTTCCAATGACACTTTTAAATTGATTAGGTATATTACCTTCCTATAATTATTGTGAATGCTTGAAGTACTAATATGAACTACGAATGACTTGATCCCTGTTTAGGGCACGTAGGCAGTCTAACGAGACGTTAGATGCAGCCATAATGTATTTGAGACAAAAGCCTTATTTGGGAAATTGAGTAATGCGAAGGAAATTGGTAAGGGCAAGTTTTAGTTTTGTGAATTAGTTAGTTAAATTAGTGTTAATTGGGTTTGTCACGGATAATTATCCCTAAAAATAAGTAGTTCGGAAGTAGGGCGTTATTGATTGTACATTTTACAATGTATTGTATATAATTGAAAATGCTACGACATGGTTGAGTATTAGATTGCATCATGGTATATCCATATGCATATTACTTGCACATAATTATTGGGAATGCATTCAAGTGCAAAGGTGAATGCAGGACACCCAGGTAAGTTCAGGTGAGTTTATGGTATTAGTTGAATCGATGGAGTTATAGCATGACTACATTTATGTGTTAGGCAACTCCGATACTGTCGTACTGGTTACCATGAGTTGTACATGTTATATTGAGATCCATTGAGAGCTCTTAAACCTGCACCCCGGTGTTAGTGCTCCCGCCCGTGGCCAGGACACAGTCCTTCATGTAATGTTCACCTTTCACACCTTACGCTCACCTTGGACTTAAGGTAGGTGCACAGGCTTGTCGTACAGACCACTATAGATGGTTCCGACTCATAGGTGACCCGCGATTATTCGCCCAGTCTTTACGTGATCGTAGCACTTGAGCGTACTTATTTACATACAGTCCTGTCATATAGACCACTAGAGGTGGTTCCGACTCGTGTGCAAGGATGTTTGATGAGCTATAGATTAAGTCGTACAGGTCATTAGAGGTGACTCCTAACTTGTATGCTAGTATTGATTGATGTGATATGGATACCTGCACCCCGGTGTTAGTGCTCCCGCCTATGGCCAGGGCACAGTCCTTCACGTGATGTTCACCTCCTGCACCTTACGCTCACCTTGGACTCAAGGTAGGTGCACAGACCTGTCGTACAGACCACTATAGGTGGTTCCGACTCGTAGGTGACCCGTGATTGTTCGCCTAGTCTTCACGTGATCGTAGCACTTGAGCGTACTTATTTACACCCAGTCCTCTCGTACAGACCACTAAAGGTGGTTCCAACTTATGTGCAGGGATGTTTGATGAGGTATAGATTAAGTCGTACAGGTCACTATAGGTGACTCCCGACTTGTATGCTAGTATTGATTGATAAGATATGAGTACAGTCGTACGGGTCGCGTAAGGTGATTCCAGCTGATGTATCATTTTATATTGATTAAGTTCATTTGGCCTACTTGTTAATGCATTGTAGAGTCTATGGACATGGCATACCCATGGTTTTGGCCATTTTTTAGCATGGGTGGATATAGATATATATATATATATGTGTGTGTGTGTGTGTGTGTGTGTGTGTGTGTAGTATTGTCCTATAGAAAACAATAAGGGAATTACAGTGAGGGGTTATTACTGTTAGAATGGTAATAGTTTTGGGAAGCTTGGTTTTATTGCTTACTCATACTTTCTGTTTTGTACCCCTTCAGGTTTTAACTGCTGAGTTTGTATCGACGCGGATATATGGCTAATCTTAGTATTGGTGGCTACTTTTAAGGGTATGATTCTTACTCACACTACTGTACTTTACTTGTGCTCTAACATCGCGTGTGAAATGGGTTCGCTCCCACTCGTAGCGCACTCTGGTATTTAGACACTTTTAGTTTCAAATTTATTCATATTTTATACACTATCACACTTTATGGCTTCGTCACCTTCCAGGTGTCGCCCAACACAGTTCAATTTGGGGTCCTAATGGACATCCCGGGTCGGGGTGTGTCAAATTTCCCATTATTAAAGGGGTTTTTATTCTCAAGTCATCTATAAAGCTTTGATTTTCAAATTGACGCAATTTAGTTGAGCAAATTTATGACTTAACTTGGTTGAAAATAGTCAATTTGAAGAATTAGAGATCCAAAAATGACAATTAGTAGATACCAACTTTAGTATTTGTCCACCTAACCATTTATTGTTAGAAAATTATCACTTAATGTTGGTTAAGTCATCGGTTAACGTTGGTGACCTAACAAATGTCTCATTTTTCCTTACTCATTAGTTTAAGGCAACAAATGCCTAATTTTTCAACATTAGGTAGTTATTTGAAATGTTTTTAAAGGTGAGACTAATTTGAAACACACTAAAAATTTAGGTAGTTATCCGTGCTTTGGTCTTTGAGATTTGAAATCAATAGAAGTGGTCCCTTGAGATTGTCCACCATCAATTTTGGTCCTTCGGTA